GCCTCTGCTCCATTGAGCGCATCTTGCCCGAGGTTACTCCACCGACTTCGGTTTATTCCACGTCTACTTGACCAATCTCACCTCCGCCGAGGGAGGTATCATCTCATTAGTACAGAGACATATCTCGAGTATGCAGTGATGAATTCCCCCCGGAGCTTCAAAAGCAATAAATGTGACCTTTGCATGTTCCTGCCATAAAATACCAGGAACACCTCCAGCTCCCAAGATAGAAGCTGTGGTGGGCATATGTGAGCAGCATACACCATATGGATTAAGTCAAGGGAATACTTAGAAACTTCGACTCTGCCTTCAGCAAAATTGATTCCGGCAATGTTTTTAGCAATTTCTTGAGGATTTTCCGTGTGTTTATGAAGTGCCGATCACCACAAAGCGATCTTTCAGCCTTGGCCTTTGAAGTCTCTCTAGCCTCACTCTTACAATAGCTTTGGATTTAGTGGAGATCACAAAATACAGCATAAAATGTTAATATAAAAACGTAGACTTTCCTCTAAAAGGAAAGGCCTGTGCTGCCTGGAGTGGCATACACATGAATCTGGTTCAGGGTTTCATTCAGACCCACTTTTTTTTACTATCTCATATTGCAGCAGCAACAAATAAAACATTTAGGAATGCTTAAATATTGATTTCATCTCTAGCACACAGAAGTTCCTTAAACAGTACATTTCTACCGAGTACAGTAACAGCTATTGCGGTATCTTACTAGGGGACTTAAAACTATTTAAAGCTGTTTTACATGAAAAACTTTTGCTTTTTGGAGCAATTCCAGGTAATTGGCAGAGGAGCTGGCAGAGTGCAGAGAGCTGGAGCTATCTGGAGGTTTATCTGATCTCGGTGATAAAATTCCATCCCTGGGGTGACCTAAAAAGGACTGGAAAAGCCATGTGCTATGTGCTACGTGGATCAACGCCGTGCTAACGGCAAAGCGAGATGGATGATCTCATAGGTGTTTTCCAGCTCTCCTCCCCGCGGCTCCTCAAGAGCCAGTCAGAGATCAGGCTCCTTCTTTGTCATTAAATATTTTGGGAATGACACATTGTGCCCCTGGACTGCCCAGTGACAACAGCTCAGCTAAACACCCAGGAGGAATTTAAACTTCTGCATATCTCCTGACGCTGGGAGATAACTCCTGACTTCTCTGAATAGGAGGAGAGGCTGCAATTCTCCAGTTAAGTCATGTTAATGATCTCAGAGATTAGCAAAGCTGGTTTGGAAATCTCAGTGTGTGGAGGGCTTCCTTGAGAAAGGGGCTTTTTATGGACTGCCTTCAGACCAACCCAGGCAGGTAGTGATCTTCTGTGTTCGATGCTGAAGGGCACTCAAATCCCACCCCGACAGCCCCGGAGGTGAGCAGCGACAGATTTGCTGCAACAGCTTTCCTCTACGAGCACCCAAAACCCATCGGACAGGAAAACGCATCCCCCCCAAAGCAGCCCGCTGCCTCAGTAGCCCTGATGCCCCGCAGCCGCTGCGGTCCAGGCACAGCCTGTGTGGGTGATGCGACCGTGGTCCCGCAGCCAGGAGCATCCGTCCCGCTCCCTACCTGCCAGACCCCCAGCTCCCCGCGGTGCCGGGGATGGGTTATTAACCAACGCCACATGTTTTTCCCTTTCAAGTCACTGGAAAAAATGCACTAGCCCCCACGCTGCTGGAGAGGTCGGGAGGGATGGGGGATGGGGTGAGATACCAGAATCCTTCGGGCTGAAGCCATATCCGCAGTGGATTTCAGACGCCAAACGCTGTGTTTCAAAGCCGCTCTCTCCCCAGCGTGTCTGAGGCTCAGGCAGTAATTACAGCGCTCTCAGAACAGAAAGGGGCTGGAGAACCAGCTGATGGACAGTGAGGCTCTGCATTACCACCGCTGAAATCCCCTGGGCACGTTATTACCGTCTATAGCTGGTTACGGCAGGAGGGCTCAGGGGCTTCGTCACAGACAGTGGTCCCATCCAGCCTGGTGCTGTACAAATGTCTCCTAAGGACCGTCCTTGAAAAACCTGACTGGCTGATAAATGACAAGGAGCTGGGGGAATTAAAATGCAGCTTGCTCAAAATTGCACAGAGGGTCAGCGGCAAAGCACCGCCCGTGTCCCGACATCTGGTTCAGGATGTTGCCCTCCAGTATGCTGCGACGTCAGCCCACCCAACGCGCCTGCAAGGAAGGGGGTATGTGGCTGTGACGATGTTCAAGCTCCCTCCTAAATCCAACACGCCCCCGAGGCCGTGCCGCTGGCAAAGGCACCTCTCTCCCCCAGCACATTCCACCCGCGCATCGACCATCATCATCTCAACCTTCCAGTTATCCATCAGCATGAGAGCCCCACATCTGAAAGCCATTTAAGACATTGCATTTATAAGAAGAAATAATAAAGCTACTCAAATTTAACCCAACTGAGCTGGACAAGCCAAATCTCTGCCTGCTGCCTTTCTAAAGTCTTATGAAATACGTACAAGGGGGAAGTGGAAATACAGACCATCCTTCTCTGGAGCCCAGAGACCCCTCTGATGGCCACCCAGCTGCAGAGATGGCTAGGGAAATGCAGCAGAAGACACAGTGAAAGCACAGTGGAGTCAGAAGGATGTCCAGTGTGGGACAAGCTGGTTTCTGGATGCAGTAACGGCAGCTGTGCAGTGTTAGGAAGGATGGATCCTCCGCAAAGCACCTGAGCGGGACCGAGCCACTCAGCTTTGCCCAGGAGCACCCTCTGCTCTGCCCAAGGACTTGACTGTAGCTGCCAGCATCTCAAAACCCGGGTGTGCTAATGACAGAGCTGAGGCTGCTTATACAGGGCCACTTAATGAGGGCAAAGCTGACTGCGATTTGCTAGTGATACTACGGAGTCCACAACACCGAGATTACGGGAAATCCAATACACAGGATATGTGTAATAGATAATTAGCCAAACTCTAAGAGCAGCCTCTACAACCTTCTTGAGGTCCTGGAGATCGTGGTAACAAAATTTGGTTGTAAATCACATCAGAAGAACAGAAATATTCTGCAACCAAGATCAGCCAACATGGTGGCCAAGTTCTGAGTCCGTGCAAGCTTACTGAAACAAATCTTACTGCAATCTCACCGAATCTCGCTGCAGCGCTTAGGCAGCAGGCTGAGAGACTCTGCACAACCTTCCTGTTCAGCAGCGTACGATCCGTCTGCTCAAGCACTTGATAACATTCTTTGTCCCACCCCTGACAGACCTTCACAACAGGGAGTAACGCTTCATGCAGGCACGTTCCAGCTTTCATTGACCTCACAAGGTGAATATTTTGTTATTCTTACCTGTGTATCAGCACCCACACCACAGCAACCCTTACCTAACAAGGACTGGAAAATCCCTCCACGATCTGGCAGGACTACACACCCATGTGTCTGTGCCAGCAGATCTGCCCAGCAGACCATGCTAAGCACTAGTGTCAATGGTCAAATTCCAAGTCCAGGTACTTGCACTCAACCGAAATGCACTAATGGCTTTTCAGAATGTGCAGTGATGTAACAGCAGTGATGCAGGCAACGTGACGCTGTGATATCTAGAGGCACCTGGGAAAGGAGAGACAACCCAGGACCAGCATTTCTGACAATTACACATCTTGACTAGGAAATCTCTTTCCTCTGACTCCATCTGCCCAGTTAGCTACGGCTGGAGAAATGTTGGGGAGATGCCTTCAGATGTGGCAGTCAAAGGAAGAGGAGTCAGGCTCAACACACTCGTCCTGACCAACACCTCCTCCTGCAGTACAGACGCTGCAGGGACCAGATCGGGAGAGGACGACGGTCAGGCAATCAGAGCACGGTCCTGAGTCATCTGGATCTATCGGTTCTTCTGCAAATCTGACCCCTGCTCCACGGGGCATGCTGCACTGTTCCTACCATCATCTGGTTTGCCCTGTTCTTCTTGCACCACGTCCCAAGTGAGTGAGAAGTATTGAGACACACTCAAGATCCTGTACTGCAGCAATCCACATGATGTCTTTTGGAGAGCCTTAAGAAGATTTCTTCTTCGAGGCCTTTTGTTCCACGTGATTACTTAAAAAGCCTGAATGCCCAACTCTGGGATGCCCAGGCAAGGAGAAAACCAACAGCAATACTCACCCATCTCCTTGAGCTCCATATTAACAAGTTCCAACCAGCAAGCATCGAGCTCGTCCAGGTCATAGCGGCTCACTCCTTGCAAGTAAGTCCTTGTAGCTTCCGAAATCTCGGAGCCAGGCAGGCTACTCGGTGAAACCTGTGAAGGTGAGTTCTCCAGCTGGGGTATGATCCTGGAAGAAAAGAAGGAGAGGTTGAGAAAGAGCTACAACGTGCAAAAGCATCTAATTTCTTGCCGTGGAGGACGCGACCACACCGTGTACAAACCTGACTAAGAAGGAAGCAAGCCCAGCAAAACCAAAGGGGTTTTGTGCACTCGGTGTCACCTCCTGTGCTCAGATGCTCAGAGGACCACAACTTGGACACAAGCACTTCCCCAGAGACTGCTGGGCTGGGAAGTGACGGTTTGGGTTGGGATGCATCAAAACAAGCTGATTTTCAGAAAATGCTGAGCACACCCCAGCTGCCAGCTCCTCATCTCAGGACCTCAAACCTGGAGTCTGCGCTTCTCCCAGCATCCCAAAGCGGCGCGGGGAGGCGGCAGCGTGGTGGCACGGCTCCAGCATCGCGCCTGCTGCGGAGGGCCAGCCCGTATCCCG